GACTTCAGAAACTACTGCAGGAACTGCAGAGAAGTAATATTAATTATTCTCTGCAATCGTAAACATGTTTCTTTCTTTGCCTAATAGATTTATTAGCTATTAAAAGATTGTATTCAAGGTAGAAGATTTAATTTAACCTTGGAATTGGGATTTAGAGTTTCATGTCGTCTTGACAGTCTCATCCTTTGTGGGTAACCCTGTATGTGAGAAACATAATAGAAACAACGAAAAATCACTCATTCAGCCGTAAATTTCTTAAATAGCCATCACATTAAGAAGACGACATTTAAAGAAGTTGTTTGAAATTGTAAAAAAAGGAGGTAGTTTAATTTAGATTTTAGCAGGTAAACTAAGTCAATTTTCGTATTGTGGGAGCAGAGACAAATTGTTCAGGGTAGTCTGAAGAATAAGAAAATATTATTAAAATCACAATATTTACTGTCATTACTTAGGCGTTACAGATTTTGTAAAAAAAAAGTTTCTTTTGCAATTTTCTCTTAACACATTGCACATTTTCACACAAGGGTTCCCTTCAAAACTAAAGTGTATTTTATGGTGCGTCATTTTTAAAATTGATATTGCTCTTAAAAATAAGCCATTTTTTAGGCAAATCAGAATTTAGATTTGGAAAAAAAAAGTTTTACAGTTTACATTAAGAGGAATCATCCTTATTACATATTAACACTGAAATATAAAGATCTAAATATATATTTATAGCGTGACGCTGCTGGATTTTTAAAAATCACACTTTAAATCCCTAAATGTACCATTTAAAAAAGTAGTTTTGCCCGGAAGAGTCAAATGTGGTGGCCCGGAAGGGGAAATAGTGGTGGCTCATGGCTGCCGGAAGAGAAAAAAGCTAATATGTGGCCCGGAAGGGGAAATAGTGGTGGCTCATGGCCGCCTGCCTTCCCCCGCTCCTATAACATCTAATTGCAATATGTCATGAACACTGATAATATTTGCCTGATACAAAAGATCTTATTTCCTAGATATACAATCTCAAAATCAAGAATTTCATTTTTATGATTTATTTACAGTATTAGATTAACAAGCTGAAGTGTCCGGCGTTGCCCGTGAAACTTTCAAAAATTCAAATTTTGAAGAAAAAAATTCGATTAAAAAATAAATTTTGATTTTTGAAAAAATGAAATTCGATTTATTTAGTCCATTTTACCCCCGGGGTACTCAAGGGTTGCCTTAAAAATGTTAGCTAATTTGGTCCAGCCGTTAAGCCAGCTCTGGCTGACATATATATGCATAAATATAAAAAAGGCTTGCACCTTCTTGATAAAAAGAAAATTTCTGTCCAAAAACTTTATAGCCCTGCGAACCAAAAGAATAGTGTTATTAATAGTTATTGTATGTTTATGTTTGATTATTATTACAAACACATGCATTATTGAAAGTAGTTAGTGGATAGTTTTCAACAAAACTAATTATTGTTTCAATATTTAGAGCTGTTCTAATATTTTTAACTTTATCATGCATTGTTATTTAAAATCATGTTTCAAGGGGTTTGATTGATTAATTGTTTATTTGTTCCAGTTCCAGCACATCCTGGTGTACCTCATACACACTTAAAGAGAGGAGTCGCGAAAAATGAAAAATTATCGATGGTGATTGCTTCTAATATTACTTATATCTGTTGCGTCTATAAGGAGAAAATTATTAAAAACGAATCATACCGAAGAACGTTATAGCGTCCATACAAATTAAGAAGTTGGAATATTCAACTTGATCGTAAAAATAATCAATTTAATTCCAAACAAATCATCATCAATTTTTTTTGACGCATTTGTTTATTATAGTTGATATTTAATAATACTTTTTTTATTTATTACTTGTTTCATATACGACAAACTTTAAACAGCGATCCAATCCATACTTCATCTCTTTTTTGATAGGTCATCTTTTAGAAACTTTAAAAAAAAATCCGCGAAACTATTTTTTACATTTTGCCTTTTTCTGAAAATCTGTACATTTTAACTATTAGAGGCATAATTTTAGGGAATAATTGATAAATACAGGGAATGTTGCAATCAACATGCAGCGAATACGCGCTGAAATACAGGGATCGCTCGACTCTCTTAAATTCAAGAAATATTGCCTTTGTATTTCTTGATATATATTTACTGTCAGTTTGCAGGATTACTAGTATTAAGTAATTTCACTATTACATAAGTTTTTGATTATTAAACTTTTAGTTTCTGTGGTTTCCCTCTGGTGAGGGAAGGCGGGGGTGCAGACAAACGAACTGACCTCTTGTGCCTCCTAATTCACAGAATTGACCTCCTAGCCAATTAAAATCATCTTAGTGCCTCACCCTATGTCTCCGAACCCCCGCAACCTTTACTCCACGTCCAGCATTCTTATCTCCAATAACAAATATTTGGCTTTCACATTCCCCAAAAACCTTTTTTTTCGAAAAATCTCAAAATGATCTGAAAATTTTTAATAATAAATAAACAATTTGCCTCAAAATGTCAAATCTTCTTTTTTTGTTTTTCTAAATTTCACAAATTCTTAAACTTATGAATAACTATTTCAGCTTTATATAAATCTTATATCATTTCAAAGGTGTATCATGTACGAATCTAGCTGTATAAGCAACAATTCACAAAACATAATAGTTTTAGTGAAATACTTTAATTTTGTACTCACAAAAACTATTATGTTTTGTAAATTGGTGCTCATATATTTAGATTCGTACATGATACACCTTGCGTTGAAATGATATAAAATTTGTATCTTTATTTAAAGCTGCAATAATTATGCAAGTTTAAGAATTTGTGAAATTTAGAAAAACTGAAAAGAATTTTTAATCTGAATTAAAGTTGACTTTTTAAAACAAATTGTTTATGTATTGTTAAATACTTTTTGAACATATGTTGACGAAAGCAATATTAAATGTGTATTCTAACTATAGCCAGCTGGCAAAAAACGGCCCAAAAACTACCCAGAAACGAACGTGTCAAAACAATCGTTTTTGGACGTTCTATTTTTTTAGTAAATTCAGAGTTTAACATAATATAGTAATATAGTGAAATCTTTGAAGTTTTATTAAACATTTTTCTAAAAACGATCCAAAACTATCCAAAACGATCCAAAACTATCCAAAACTATCCAAAACGATCCAAAACGATCCAAAACTATCCAAAACAATCCAAAACTATCCAAAACTATCCCAAACGATTCAAAACTATCCAAAACTATCCAAAACGATCCAAAACAATTCAAAACAATCCAAAACTATCCAAAACGATCCAAAACTATCCAAAACTATCCAAAACAATCCAAAACTATTCAAAACTATCCAAAACGATCCAAAACTATCCAAAATTATCCAAAACGATCCAAAACAATCCAAAACGATCCAAAACAATCCAAAACGATCCAAAACGATCCAAAACGATCCAAAACGATCCAAAACTATACAAAACGATCCAAAACGATTAACAACACTTACTATAACATGTACACAAATCCCTCACCCCCCCTTTACGTTTTCAGCAAAGCATTTCGTGTTTTAATCTAGTTGTTTCATGGTTTTATTAGTTGTACTTAAACATTTTCCTCGAAGAAGACGACATTTTGATTAGCAGTCCACATGAGACACATGACTTCTAAAACCTCAA